CCAGCACTCTGAGCTCTTCACACGGCGGTTCATTCAAAGCCTTTCAGCGCTCACGCTGTGGTGGATGCAGTCTGGGGCGGGCTGGAGGAACCGGCTGGCTGATAGTGAGGAGGAGGAGCAGCGAAGGTACCTTTCTGGTCTCCATGTGCAGGGCGACGGCGACGTGATCCCACACATAAAACTCTGGGTGCCTAATCGGCCCCCGAGCGTCCATCTGGTTCTCGTCAGGTCCTCGGATCAACTCGTAGCTGAGAGGACGGGCAGAGACACAGAGGTCAGAGGGCGCTTTTAGTCTCTCACTGGAGGTCATTTCCACATTTACCCGTGTGATTCTTACCTGTGTGTCTTACACATGGCCTCCGGTCTCCAGATGAAGCGTCCGTCTCTATAAGTGCAGACGGCGTCCGGGTCATCATCAGGGAGCAAAGGAAACCTTGAGAAGAGCAGCTGATTGGCCGGGCTGTGGACCAGCACAGAGTACTGCACTTCCTGTTTGTACAGCGAGGTCTTGAACACCCTCATGATGGGCGGAGCTCCAGAGCAAAACTGGGGACGATAACAGAAGTTTCAGTTTTACTTCCAGAGACAGAAAGAGTGACGCGGCACAGCGAGTTTCGGTCGACGTGCGCTTTGAGTCACGACAGCAGCTCGCTGTAAACGAAGGATGGAAGTGCCCTGTTGTTCGGTGTTGTCAGGAATGTTGTGATTACACTTTGAGTTTTAACTGGGTCTGTTCCAGTCGGCTGATGTTTGTGTTTCCACCTGAAATATTTACTGAGTCCATGTAAGCTGAACGAAAAAAGCACGTTCTTCAGTTTGTGACTAAGAATGTAATATTTATAGTATTCAGTGTTTTAACATTATGGAGAAATATAAATATGCATCATTCAGAAACAGTCCCAGGTTATTGTTTGCAGTTTTTTACAGGACTACTTGAAGTTTTAAAATATCTAAATGATCCAGGATGCAGATATTTGAATACTAGATCCTGTTTCATGTTTCTGGTAAGACCCACCAGTGCCCATATGGAAAAGAAATAGTAAAAACTTATATGATTTACTCATGAAAGTGGCCACTTTCTCATTACTTTCATATATTGTTTTAGTAAGTATCCAAAACATACAAGTTTCATTATATAATCTTTCAAGGGATCTTATATGTGTTTTCACTCTTTATGCTTTTCATACAAGTTTCACACAAGACAGATACAAACTTTATAAGATTTATTCATATCTTTTCCATGTGGGTGAAACTGTCAGGTTTCTGTTGTTAACAGTGTTTTAGATATTCATGTTCAAACTCTGCCTCTGAAAAGTGTTTGACATGAAGTTCACAGACATCTCTGACTCTTTTATGGTGCTCACGGGCGGTGATGTCAGCTCTGTCAATGCAAACAGTCATTTAAACGTAGGATTACCTGCTCGCTGTAGGCCGTCAGCACCTCCTCCAGAGGAAACCTGAAGCGGTACGAGCCCAGTCTCGACCTCCTCCTGAAGGCTGGAGAGGAGGCGAACTTCCACAGGAAGCTCTCCTGCTCTGCAGCCTGCTCCTCCATCCGGTCTGGGTAGGTCTTCTTCAGGAGCCTCGTCTCAGCCGCTTGGATCTCCTCGGGTCCCACAGCCAGACTCCACCACACCAGGGAGAGATGGCGAGGATCCGAGGAGCCTCCACGAGGATCCTTGAAGCCTCTGTCCTTCCGGATCCCACATAGCCCCCGTCGCTCTGTGTCATGTTTCAGGTGAGACACGTAGAACTCGGGTCGGGGGTAGTCAGGGATGTCTTCTTTGTAGAGGTACTGGTTCTCCAAACCCTGACGCTCAGCTGTACTTCTTAAATCATTCAGCCGCACATGCTGACCCTCTATCAAATGTTCAGGATAGTTTCGGCTGTTTGTCTGCGTCTGCATGATCATGGAGGGTGAGCTGAAGAGAAGTAGTCTCTGATATCTGACGGGACACACTTTTATTCAGACCCCACCCAGTCTCACACACGCACACACACACACACACACACACACACACACACACACACACACACGCACGCGCACACACGCACACACACACGCACGCGCGCACACGCACACACACACACACACACACGCACGCGCGCACACACACACACACACACGCACACACACACACACACACACACACACACACACACACACACACAGCGTTCTGGTTTTGGTTCATTGACTGCACGTCTTGCCTGAAGTTTCAGTTTGATTCGTCTTCAGATGTTTGAGGTTTGTTGTTGTTTGTTTGAATTCTGCTTCATCACCGAGGACCTGCTGTCATGGTTTTGTTCAGTGAACCTAACCAACCTTACATTTCCATAAAAGGCTTGTCTGGTGTATTTCCTCTGAGTTGTAGGAAACGGTGTGATGTAATGAGACAGGAAGTGCGGGTGCCAAACTGTTTCTGATGTCACTGTGGTTTCTTCCTCCTTCACTTGCGTCCGGGCTGAGCAGAATTCACCCGAGGCCGATATGAGCCGGACGTTCGTGCTGTGATGGAAACCATCAGGGTCGTTTTACTGAAACACGTTCACCTCTTTCTGCTTATTGAACTTGAACAGGTCATTTAGACCTGACCCAACGCTCTTCTTCTCTTTGTGTTCTCGTGTTTCTGTTTCATGATTAAAAAATTTTTTATTAACACTCTTGCCAACAATAAAAAACGTTACAAAAACAAGCTGCGCTCTGACCCCAGCGCTCATCAGAAGTGTCTGCTTGTAAAAACATATCCATCCATCAAAGTCAGGTCACCTGCAGGCTGAGCCGTATTCCAGACTTCTGAGGCCTTCCTAACCAGACCAGCAGGTTCTGGTCTCACTCGGAGTCTCCTGCCTGGAAGACCTCCAAAGGGAACCACCACCTCAGTCTGCCAGTACAAAGGTGCTGTCCGCACCCAAGCCCAAACAGCCCGTGATGTACAGAGCCGTTATCATCTCAGGACAAGTCTGAGTCAGTCCTGACGTCCTGAACCAGACAGCATCTCTGCCAGTGTATCTGCAGAGGTTCCCCCAAATCTTCAGGCTGTGTCTCCTTCACAGACGAAGGTTCGGTCAGACTCAGGAGCTCCTCAAAGTCCTCTTTCCACCCTCGACAATAAATCGAGTACATGTCAGCTGTTCCCCTGCACGCCCTGAGAACTTCCTGAGCTCGTGGACAGAAGTTCTTTGACGTCCAATGAAAGTCCTTCCTAAGGGGTCTCAGATCCGACCCTGAACTCCTGTGACTCCTCCCACAGTTTTACCGCTATTTCGACATTGATATGCCGAGGTCACCAGACAGAAGCGCCCTGGATTCATGGTGATGATCACATCTACAGCCGATGTTACTGCACCATTATTTGTTTGTTTCTAACTGTTGTTGTTAGGCCTCGTAATGGCCACGCCTGGCCTCTACTACTGTTTCTATATAAAAACATTTAATTCACATTACATTTTAACATATTTGAATAATATCAACATTTAGCAGTAAATCAGAAATAAGAAACAGATATGTGTCAAGTATTTTGCAGGATTTAACATTTTCACCCCTGAAGTCAGCAAAATAACATTCATCTGTAGTGTAAGCTGTCAGATCACTGGTGTCAGCTGGTGTCCACCTGTATTTAGTTTGGAGGAATCAGTGAGTGAGTGAAACTCACTTCTGTCTGATGACAGTGATACTGAGGCAAGCTGTTGAAAATATGCTGAACTTTCTGTCAATATGGACTGCTGTTAGCTGCTGTTAGGTTCTGTTAGCTTCTATTCGCTGCTGTTAGCTGCTGTTAGCCTCTTTTAGCCTCTATTCGCTGCTGTTAGCCTCTATTAGCTGCTGTTAGCCTCAGTTACTGAAACTGTCTCTGAAGTGGATCTAACTATGTTTGATGTAAGGATGGAATCAAACTGTTTATCTGAGGCAAAGTGGGATTTTTAGGACACTCGAGCCAAACATTAGCTTTTGTTGTTTAGCTGGCTCTTTGCTAGCTCTCCGAGGTCATTCAGGGCTCATTAATAACAGCAGTTTGAGCTCCTTCAGGTGAAGTAACTTCATTTCCCTCCACTCCGGAGAGCTGAGGCCCGTCAGGTTTTATTTTCCACTGATATCCCTCACTTGCTCTAAAACTACGTCTTCTTATGTATTTATAGTCTGACTGCAAAAGCTGTGTGTGAGAAATTATTTCAACATATTCTGTTATGGGGTAACCAGGTCTCACAGCAGGAGGTGAAAAGGATTGTTAAGCTCTAATTTAACGTAATTAAAGTTTACTGTCTGAAAACGATATGAAAAATATTTTATTTGGCACATCCACAAAGACAAAACATTCCTGATAACAGTGAAACAGGAGACATCAAAGGAAAAGAAGCTTTAAAGGTTAAAACAGTTCATTTAAATACTGCTCATTAATAATCAGAATAAAATCAGAATAAAACCTGACCGCAGAAACATCATTAGCATCGTTATTGAATCAGTTACAGGAGACATCAGAGATGATGTGCTTTTTCATTTTCACTTCCTCAGTTTCATCTTTACACAGGTGCTGGCAGCTGATTGGCTTAAATGGTCAACACTGACAGGCTGTCGGTGCTGCATTGGGTCAGGTGAGAACTGGGCCCATAGGTGTGTCTGTGGGAGGGGCTACACAGAGAAAATCACTGCTGATTGGCAGATGCAGCACTCTGATTGTGTCCACCGTGGAAATGATCCTCCTGTTAGTAACGCTGTGCAGCAGTTGGTCTGCACGAAGGCAGCGGCGGGTCCTCACCAGCAGGTGGAGACGCGGTGATGCTGGAGTCCTCATGGACACAGTTTTCCAAACTTCAGAAGGTTCATTTGTTCGGTCACTCACACATTCCTCTCATGTGACCAACATCTCCAAAGTTAGAAATATCCTGTCTCAGAGTGACGCTGAAAAACTAGTTCATGCATTTATTACTTCCAGGCTGGACGACTGTGATTCATTATTATCAGGAAGTCCTAAAAACTCACTGAAAAGCCTTCAGCTGATCCAAAATGCTGCAGCAAGAGTCCTGACAGGGACTAGAAAAAGAGAGCAGATTTCTCCTGTATTGGCTTCCTGTCATTTTCAAACCCTCACAGACACACGTGTGTCTTGAATGATCTTCGTGAGATCGGCACTGTTGGGATTTTTTTAAAAGGCTTTTGGATCGTTGCACAAAATAAATATTCACAATTTAAACATTCGCAGTCGGCTACAAACAAACTGCATTTTCAAACCTGCTGACGTCAGGATGGGGGGAGACTTCCCATGATGCATCATGGAAGCTAAACTGGGAGGTGACCTCCTCACTAAGGCCAGCAGGTGTCGCTGTGCTGGGTGTTCTGGTGCATTTATCGTACGCCACACTCCATCACCTGAGGGTAAACAGTGTAAACAACATTACAACATCACCCAGCACTCAGACGGTTTTCCTGATGGAGTAGACCTCCCCTCCTTTAGCCATGACCATCCTCGCCACGGCCTGCACCAGATCATAGACCTGCTGACCATCCCAGTGGTCCGGGTTGTTGTTGAGGACGTGGTACCTGTAGCCCACTTTGAAAAGCAGCTCAGGTCCTGCCGCCCGGCGCTGTCTCTCGATGTCTGGAGCCGCCGGGTTAGCATAGGTGCAGAGGATCCTGGTGTACCTCAACACGTCCATCCCAAAGAACTCCTCCACCTGCCTCATGGTGGCTAGATTTTCCACGGTGGAGGACCCCACCCTGGTGACCAGCAGGACAGCGTGGGGCCTCAGCATGTTGACACATGTGGAGATGTCCCTCTTCACGGCATCGTCTGATGTTTCCGAGAGACCGGGAGTCTCAGCTACGGTCACCTGGTGGCCGAACACCCACTCGCTCTGCCAGCAGCACGATGACGTCCCTGAGGAGAAGATTCCACCAGTTTACTCTGAACATGCTCCCAGTTTGAGGCGTTTGACCTCCTACACTAAGCTAATGTTAGCCGTGTAGCGGAGCCAAAGGGGCTGGGGCTAAATCAGTCCACAGACGGGTTAGCCTTACCTGAGGATGGACCGCCTGGACTGAAGGCAAGCCTTCCTAGGATGGCGTTCCCAGTGGAGCTCTTCCCCACTCCAGGCCTCCCAACAAGAACCAGTCTGATGTCGGACACTGAGATGGAGAAAGTCTGCTGTTAAAACGAGATTTAAAGGATCATTTTAAGCTCCGTGTTTCCTGTTTCTGTGGGTCTGAGATGAAACGACAGACGCTTTAAAGTCGTCATCGATATTCTTCGTGATGTCACACAGCCCCTCCCTCACGCTTTAAAGGAAGAGTGCAAAGCACCAAGGACGGCACGACTTGGACTTGCTTTCTACAGAAACTCAAAGATCGCTGTACCTCACACTGGGAGGGGTCACAGTCTCCAGTGTGCACATGTGATACCTGTGTAACGGTGCAGGAGCGAGCGCTCCTCCTCCAGGGGGAGGTGCCAGCCCGGCCACAGGCATTTAACCAAGTTTGTAGCGTCTTCGAAATCATCGAACTCCTCCTCGTCGTTTCTGGCTGTTACTTCCTCCGGCCAACAGAACCTGAGGTTCTGTCTCAGGCGGTCAGCGTCAAACGTCAGCACCTGAACGATCAACAGGATGTTTTTAAAGGAAACCTGCAAACGTCTGAACTCTGACGGTACACCTGCAGGAGTGTTGCGTTCAGGGACAGTCGGAAACGTTAAGGCTGAGAGAACACGTGTGAACCTACATGATCACAACAAATAATCATGTTCGAGGTCCTGCAGTCAAACATAAACCAGCTTCTCAAGCATGAAGCGCCAACAGCTGCAGTTCCTCTGACGCCCAGCAGAGGCAGCAGTGAGTCTCCATAGATTAGGGGTATTCAACTACAATTTAAGATGACCTTTATTTAACTAAACTTTGAGGAGGTCCAGTTGGAGAAAATCTTCTCAAGCAGAGGTCCGGGACATCATAATGTCTAACTTGCGTTATGATTGTGATAGAGAAGCAGCATTTTTTTTACATTAATATCTATGAACTGTCAAATCAATGAAAATACAAGTTAAAACATTTCAACAAAATTGATTGAAACACTGAAACACACAGTAGGCCTACATTAGATGCAGGGCTGCTGTTTAAAACGAATTAGAGAAAATAAATAAAATGACTAAATTGTGCCTCTTAAAACAAAGTGCTTCATTTCAGAAAAAAGCAGCAGGTGGAGTTTTTTCTTTACCTTTCACATCTCGACGTTTTCAAAAGATAACATCAAAGCATCTTACCAATTTCACAGTTTCTCTTTCTTTCCGCCTTATATTCCACTTTCTGTTGTTCGGTGAGAGAACTGAGCTTTAGTTTGCCAGGATTGTAAATCTGGGCTGGAATGGTGTCAGACCCGTTCTCATACACATGTGTAGGTGCTCGTTGGTGAGCCTGGAATGATATTTAGTTTTTATTATGTTCATTGTGGAGAAAGCTGCCTCACAGCTGTATGTGGAGCCACACATGGTCGAGATGTGCAGGGCTACTTTCCTCAGATGTGGGACCATTTGGAGCCAGAAAGGCAGGTTCAGTTCTCCCAAACTGCTCTTTCAGGGCCACATCTGCTTGGAGATCAACCAGCTGCATTTGAAGAGGCCCAGCATTTGGCCACTTGAAGTGCTGTGTGACTTCCTTTGAGAACCCTGTGACATCAGTGATGAGAAATGGGTTCTTTACATGATGAGCTGCTGTCCAAAGCTGAAGCTATCGAAACATTTGCTGAAGTTTTCAACCAGCTTATCAACAAAGTCAACAACAGAGGACATCTCCCTGAACCTGTTCCTTCACTGTTGGGAAGTGTGCATAGTCTCCCTGCAGGTCTTCTTTGAACACTTCAGGTTTCCTCTGAGAGCAGCGTCATCGGTTCACAGATTGGATCGTCTTTGCAGCTTCAAATTCAGTCCATTCAGGTGTGAAGTGATAGCAACCAAAAAGGCCACAATATCCATGTTTCCCATCATTAAAAAAGAGAGAAAAGTTTGGTGCTTCCTGACTTTCCGGCTCTTCGTGCTTTGTCTCACGGTGGCGTTTGCTGGAAGAATGAGCACGTCTGCGTCGGTGCAGTCTTGAAAGTTCTATTTTCGGTCTTTACTTTTCTCGCTTTTGAAAGCGCCATCGTTGTTGTACCTCTTGTGACTGCCTGTATTGTTAATCGTCTCGCTTGTTATTCGCCTCTCACCGTCTCTTTCCTCTGTCTGTCGGTGTCTGCGATCACCTTGAATGCACAGATTTGATTGGCTGAGTAGCGTCACATGGGTGGCTTAACTCGCACACAATTGGTTTGTCTGTTCCCCGGTCTATTAATGCAAGGTAACATTACCGCTTAAAATTCAATCGCCTCGTCAAAAGCATTTTAATATTTTGTGAAGTTTAGGTCCGGGTCCGGCCATAGATGTTAGAACTACAGCAGAAACAAACATGTTTACAGCCTGAAACACATCTTTAGAATTCACCTGTTTAAATTGCATTAAGGCTTATTAGGGGCGTGGCCTCTTTGACAGGTGGATGGTGACACGGTCTTCACAGACTGTTTGACTAAAGTGTTGTTTTTTCACCTGTCTCGAGCAAAGACTATTGGATCATCTATCCATGGAGGAAAAATGAAAATATGAAGAGAAACAAAGAATTTGGGTCCATATTCTGCAGCAGCGACGCCGCTCCCGCAGCTCGGACTCATGACCATCTGCCTGCATGCTGCAGAGGATCGCTCACCTCACCCTGCTGCCAGGACGAAGCTTTCATACAACCTGTGGATGCAGACTGACAGGCTACGAAATCTTCTCATAATATGAAATATATATTTAAAAAAACGAAGACAAAAATGTTCCTTTTCTAACTCAACATGCTTCAGGTGTAAAGAGTGATGAGGAGGAGCTACCCGTCTGTTCTCCACGTGCAGGGCGACGGCGACATTGTCCCAAACATAAAACACTCGTCGAATCAGCTGCTGAGCATCCACGTGGTTTCCATCAGGTCTGTGGGTCAGCTCGTAACTGTGGGAACAACGCACATGACTGAGAGGCTGGGAAAGTGGAAACACGCCAAACTGTCAGGAAGCGGCTGTGAGAGGAGCCAACGCAAACTCACTGACACACACAGACAGACACACACAGACGCACACAGATGCACACACACTGACACAAGGAATGAACTAAGAAAGCTACAGTGTGATTCTTACCTCTGTGATTCTAACCAGTGTGATTCTTACCCGTGTGATTCTAACCCCTGTGATTCTAACCAGTGTGATTCTTACCCGTGTGATTCTTACCTCTGTGATTCTAACCCGTGTGATTCTTACCAGTGTGATTCTAACCCGTGTGATTCTTACCTCTGTGATTCTAACCAGTGTGATTCTAACCAGTGTGATTCTAATCCGTGTGATTCTTACCTCTGTGATTCTAACCAGTGTGATTCTTACCCGTGTGATTCTAACCCGTGTGATTCTTACCAGTGTGATTCTAACCCGTGTGATTCTTACCAGTGTGATTCTAACCCGTGTGATTCTTACCCGTGTGATTCTTACCTCTGTGATTCTAACCAGTGTGATTCTTACCCGTGTGATTCTAACCAGTGTGATTCTTACCCGTGTGATTCTTACCTCTGTGATTCTAACCCGTGTGATTCTTACCCGTGTGATTCTTACCTCTGTGATTCTAACCAGTGTGATTCTTACCTGTGTGATTCTAACCCGTGTGATTCTTACCCGTGTGATTCTAACCAGTGTGATTCTTACCCGTGTGATTCTTACCCGTGTGATTCTAACCCGTGTGATTCTAACCCGTGTGATTCTTACCCGTGTGATTCTAACCCGTGTGATTCTAACCCGTGTGATTCTTACCCGTGTGATTCTAACCAGTGTGATTCTAACCCGTGTGATTCTTACCAGTGTGATTCTTACCCGTGTGATTCTAACCAGTGTGATTCTAACCAGTGTGATTCTAACCAGTGTGATTCTAATCAGTGTGATTCTTACCTCTGTGATTCTAACCAGTGTGATTCTAACCCGTGTGATTCTAACCAGTGTGATTCTTACCCGTGTGATTCTTACCTCTGTGATTCTAAGCAGTGTGATTCTAAGCAGTGTGATTCTAACCAGTGTGATTCTAACCAATGTGATTCTAACCAGTGTGATTCTTACCCGTGTGATTCTTACCCGTGTGATTCTTACCTCTGTGATTCTAACCAGTATGATTCTAACCCGTGTGATTCTAACCCGTGTGATTCTTACCTGTGTGATTCTAACCCGTGTGATTCTTACCCGTGTGATTCTAACCCGTGTGATTCTTACCAGTGTGATTCTAACCCGTGTGATTCTAACCCGTGTGATTCTTACCAGTGTGATTCTAACCCGTGTGATTCTAACCCGTGTGATTCTTACCAGTGTGATTCTTACCTCTGTGATTCTAACCAGTGTGATTCTAACCCGTGTGATTCTAACCAGTGTGATTCTTACCCGTGTGATTCTTACCCGTGTGATTCTTACCTCTGTGATTCTAACCAGTGTGATTCTTACCCGTGTGATTCTAACCAGTGTGATTCTTACCCGTGTGATTCTTACCTCTGTGATTCTAACCCGTGTGATTCTTACCCGTGTGATTCTAACCAGTGTGATTCTAACCCGTGTGATTCTTACCCGTGTGATTCTAACCAGTGTGATTCTAACCCGTGTGATTCTAACCCGTGTGATTCTTACCAGTGTGATTCTTACCAGTGTGATTCTTACCTCTGTGATTCTAACCAGTGTGATTCTAACCAGTGTGATTCTTACCCGTGTGATTCTTACCTCTGTGATTCTAACCAGTGTGATTCTTACCCGTGTGATTCTAACCAGTGTGATTCTTACCCGTGTGATTCTTACCTCTGTGATTCTAACCCGTGTGATTCTTACCCGTGTGATTCTTACCAGTGTGATTCTAACCAGTGTGATTCTTACCCGTGTGATTCTTACCTCTGTGATTCTAACCAGTGTGATTCTAACCCGTGTGATTCTTACCCGTGTGATTCTAACCAGTGTGATTCTTACCCGTGTGATTCTAACCCGTGTGATTCTAACCCGTGTGATTCTTACCCGTGTGATTCTAACCCGTGTGATTCTTACCAGTGTGATTCTAACCCGTGTGATTCTAACCCATGTGATTCTTACCCGTGTGATTCTAACCAGTGTGATTCTTACCAGTGTGATTCTAACCAGTGTGATTCTTACCCGTGTGATTCTTACCTCTGTGATTCTAACCCGTGTGATTCTTACCTCTGTGATTCTAACCCGTGTGATTCTTACCTCTGTGATTCTAACCAGTGTGATTCTAACCAGTGTGATTCTAATCATGTGATTCTACCTGTGATTCTAACCGTGTGATTCTAACCAGTGTGATTCTTACCCGTGTGATTCTTACCTCTGTGATTCTAAGCAGTGTGATTCTAAGCAGTGTGATTCTAACCAGTGTGATTCTAACCCGTGTGATTCTAACCAATGTGATTCTAACCAGTGTGATTCTTACCCGTGTGATTCTTACCCGTGTGATTCTTACCAGTATGATTCTAACCCGTGTGATTCTAACCAGTGTGATTCTAACCAGTGTGATTCTTACCAGTGTGATTCTAACCAGTATGATTCTAACCCGTGTGATTCTTACCAGTGTGATTCTTACCCGTGTGATTCTTACCTCTGTGAGTCTTACCAGTGTGATTCTAACCCGTGTGATTCTAACCCGTGTGACTCTTACCAGTGTGATTCTTACCCGTGTGATTCTTACCCGTGTGATTCTAACCCGTGTGATTCTTACCCGTCTGATTCTAACCAGTGTGATTCTAACCCGTGTGATTCTAACCCGTGTGAATCTTACCCGTGTGATTCTTACCCGTGTGATTCTAACCAGTGTGATTCTTACCCGTCTGATTCTTACCCGTCTGATTCTAACCCGTGTGATTCTTACCCGTGTGATTCTAACCCGTGTGATTCTTACCAGTGTGATTCTTACCCGTGTGATTCTTACCAGTGTGATTCTTACCAGTGTGATTCTTACCTCTGTGATTCTAACCCGTGTGATTCTTACCAGTGTGATTCTTACCAGTGTGATTCTTACCTCTGTGATTCTTACCCGTGTGATTCTAACCCGTGTGATTCTTACCAGTGTGATTCTAACCAGTGTGATTCTAACCAGTGTGATTCTAACCCGTGTGATTCTTACCAGTGTGATTCTTACCTCTGTGATTCTAACCCGTGTGATTCTAACCCGTGTGATTCTTACCCGTGTGATTCTAACCAGTGTGATTCTAACCCGTGTGATTCTAACCCGTGTGATTCTTACCAGTGTGATTCTAACCAGTGTGATTCTAACCCATGTGATTCTAACCCGTGTGATTCTTACGCGTGTGATTCTTACCCGTGTGATTCTAACCCGTGTGATTCTTACGCGTGTGATTCTAACCAGTGTGATTCTAACCCGTGTGATTCTAACCCGTGTGATTCTTACCCGTGTGATTCTTACCCGTGTGATTCTTACCAGTGTGATTCTAACCCGTGTGATTCTAACCCGTGTGATTCTTACCTGTGTGATTCTTACCTGTTTGATTCTTACCTGTGTGTCTTACACATGGCCTCCGGTCTCCAGATGAAGCGTCCGTCTCTATAAGCGCAGACGGCGTCCGGGTCATCATCAGGGAGCAAAGGAAACCTTGAGAAGAGCAGCTGATTGGCCGGGCTGTGGACCAGCACAGAGTACTGCACTTCCTGTTTGTACAGCGAGGTCTTGAACACCCTCATGATGGGCGGAGCTCCGGAGCAAAACTGGAGATGATAGAAGCAGAAGACTCCAGCTGTTACACGCCTGCAGTCACTAACCTGGTGTGGTGGATTTGTGCACAGCTGTGGTTTTACAGTTTCCACTCATCACGGGCACAGCTCCTTCTGGACTTCTTTTCACGGGGTGGACGATCGTACAGCAGACGAGAGCAGGGTGCACATGTTTGAATTTATTTTAGATTTTCTCCGACCCACACGGGGTCAGACGAGTGCTGAGGTTTGAGAGCTTCACCTTCAGCTTTCACCGCTGTGGCCAAACGGCTCAGTCTGTGTCGTCTCACCATCGACTTGGTTGTTAATAATCCCTGAGACAGGATGGTGCATGCGGACATGAAGGGCACCAGAGGAACAAAGGTAGTTTACCTGAGCTCTGAACACATTTCTTTCAAGGGTCAACGATCTCACCAGCGGCACATCTTAACATTAACATCACAGCCACAGCACATGTCAACAGAAAATCCCCTGGTGGATCGAAACCTCCTTGAATAGATGCAGACCACACCAGCAGAAAGTCCACCTACAAATCAACATGTACAGTGAGCTGCAGCGGTTAACACACGCCACATCTGACTACAAAGCAGTTAAATAAGATACAAACTAACTAAATCAATTCAAACTACAGACTCAGATTGCTCCCCCCTCAGCTCTCATCCAATGGTTTATCCCACTGACGGTGGATAATTAGGGAATTCCCTCATCATGTGCACTCCAGCAATCTAGCCTTCAGGAAGTTGACCTCAAAAGACAGAGTGGTTAGTGGACTTCAAAATAAAAGCACCCAGCACCCTCACATTTCAGCAGCACTCATTAAAGACTCAGCTGAGTGTATGTGTACTCCTCATCCTGTGTGGATCAGAGATGATTTGTTTGTTAATGTCATTAAAGACGTCTGCTGCACAGTCGCCACCCTGTGAAAGAAGAAATCCTTCACAGCCCAAAATGACCTGACATCCACCACGTGATGATGGAAGCTGCTGCCAGCAGCTGCACGCCTCGGTTTACCGTCTCTGTTGTGCTTTGAATCTTTCTTACATGTTTCTGTGTCTTTGTCATGAACTCGAATGATTTGGTGCCACAAAATTGAACTGACTTAGTTTTCTTTGACACAGTGTTGTGTCTTCCTGTGGTTCCGTTAATCTGAACTCGTGTTCATGCTGAGTCTGTTTTAGTGTTTCCTGTTAATCACACTCAGTCTTTCTGCTTCACTCTCTCACTGAACTGTTGGGCCCGTGTGCTGACAGAGGAGTACCTGCTCGCTGTAGGCCGTCAGCACCTCCTGCAGGGGGAAGGTGAAGCGGTACGAGCCCAGCCTGGACTTCTCGCTGAAGGCCGGAGAGGAGGCGAACCTCCACAGGAAGCTCCGCTGCCTCGCGGCCTGCTCCTCCGTCCGGTTTGGGTGGGTCTCCTCTAGCAGCCTCGTCTCGGCCGCCTGGATCTCCTCGGGTCCCACAGCCAGACTCCACCACACCAGGACCTGCCTGTGAGGATCCCCGAAGCCGTCGTCCACCCTGATGCAACATAAGCCCCGTCGCTCCGTGTCGTGTTTGACACGGCTCACGTGGAACTCGGGTCGGGGGTACGCAGGGATGTCTTCACTGAAGATGTACTGGTTCTCCAACCCATACCTTTGAACTTCCTGTTTCAGATGATTCAGCCTGGAGTGCTTACAGTACAGGAAGTGCTCTAAACGTCCTCTCCTGTTTCTCTGTGTCCGCATGATCACAGGTCCATCCGAGTCTCTGTGGTGGAGCTGTTCCTGCAGACGCCCACGTCTGTCTCTCTGCTCCAACGAACGCTGCGAAGCACAAAAAGTCATCATCAGCGTCAAACTGAGGATTAGACGAGTCTGAGAAGCTCGGCTGAGTCAGAAATCAGCAGCTGGACTGGCGGTCGCACCTCTGCGGTGGTTTGGAGTACTGCAAAGTTATTTCCTGCCTGGTTGCAGTGTGTCCTACTCTCAGTGATCTCGCTGCTAACAGGTGCTTCTGTGTGTTTGTGCGCACAATATCTCACTTCCTGTCTCGTTGTTTATCCCCTTGTTGGTGTCTTTGAGCCTTTTTCCGTCTCCATGTCCCTGCAGTGACTCTGTCTCTTTTTGCTTTTATCATCGTTGTTTGCTCTTTTCCATCATGCCGAGTCTCTGCGTGGACTGTGTGTTGCTGGTGCTTTGTGTCCACGTTTGCTCGTTTTGTTCCTCGTTTCTGTGCTTTCACACACTTTTGTGTGTCTGTTTATTCTCAGTTACTCTTTGTGTTGCTGTGTTCAGTGTTTGTTCTTTGTCAGTCAGTTACTTTGCAGTGAATCTGTCGTGTTTCTATCATAAACACATTTTCTTTACCTCCATGAAGCACAGCAGCAGGGCAGGCCCGCCCCCTCAGTCCTCCGGCAGGTGGCGTGTTGGTGCCACAGCCGGCATGCGTCACGGTGGACGAGTTTTCCTGCTGTTCTTTCAGAGTCTCAGCGGATCCACGGAGTCAGCCCTGCGAGTCCGGCTCGGTTTAAAATCCTCTCAGCGGTTCCCGGACACACCGCACATGCGCAGTAAACTTCCTGCAGCTGTCACAGCTGGAGTGTGACAGCTCGGTCAGGCTGTCACCTGAAGACTCCACGGTGCCGTGTCAGCTGCGCCTGTGGGCGTGGCCGGCTGCGATATGAACTCTGACCTGTAAACAGGCAGAAAACAGCTGATGGCGCCGAGGAAACATGCTGTCACGTGACTATTCACCCCGTGTGAGGCGCCCCCTGCTGCAGAGGCAGGAACCACACACACACACACACACACACACACGTGAATTTACAAAACGTGTAATAAAAATGTGAATGCATCGTGGTCAAATGACGTCACATACTAGACACCTGTAGCAGTGAGCGACCAGCTGTTCCCATCAGTGCTGACGCAGTGACGCAGTGACGTCATCTCACTGCTTTGTTTAATAAAGATTTAAAAACCTGCCACTGTTTTTACACGCTTTAGGTTAAAGACTTTTATTTTGAAAGATGTAATCAACGGAAGTTATTAATGTTGTCAGCAAAGGAGCCCTGCCACTTCCGGTTAGATTAATCATTAAACTAAGTTAAATAGCACGTATGAAGTGTGTGACACGTTAAACGGTGCGAGGAGCTTTAGGTGAGGCTGGAAAACTCTTTGTCCGGTTTAAAGCTCGTTTCCGGTCCCAGCTGCCGTCAGCCACGTCGGAGGACCGCACCTGTTCAGGTAAGACAGCCCCAGAACTCTGTCAAAGTTTAAAACTGATGTCCTCTGCCTGCTTGGATCAGCGTTCATGCAGCACACCAGACTCCGTTTAAAAAACGTCACGTTTTACGGTACCTGAACCAGTGGCAGAGACTGATGCTGGCTTCCTGACGGCTCGTGAGGCCAGTGACCTTCTCTGCAGTTCTGTATACACACTGCACCAAACTCCATTTAAATTCTTCTCATTTTTAATACCCGCCTCAGTAACACAGGCTGATATTTGCCTGTGGACACAAACAGGGCACCAAACCACTGAAATATCTTTTGAAGTTAACTGATGTTGTAGCGCCGCAGTGCAAAAATCCCTCGTTGGAAGTAATCAATGCGTGTCACAGCTTTAAAAATGTCACAGACTAAAACATGTTTGGATTACAACCACAAACTCTGGAGCAGTAGAACCGAATCCTAAAGACGAGCTCGTTTCCATCCTTTGCAGGTGGTGTTAGTCTCACCTGTCTCAGGCTTGAAGCTCTCCTGTCTCCAGGATGCTCCAGGGGCCGTACGGCGACCCGGACCAGGGCCGGCTCCTCATCCGGCTGCCCTTCAAGATCTTCGCCGTGGTGACGGTTCTGCTGCCGGCGACCGGCTTCATCGCCTGCATCATCGTCTCCCTCATCTACCACTACGAGGACACGACGCACGCACACTGTAAGGTAAATGTGGAAGCACGCAGACGCCAGCAGGAAGCACGTTTCTCTGCACAGACGTTAAAGAAGATCACTCAAAGTGTCTTTTATTTTGAAATTAGAAGCAGTAAAACATTCTAAATGTCTGTAATTCTTCATGATACAGACAAAATGATGTCACTTCCACCTGGCGAGGGTCGTGACCTTTGTATCACCTTTGAATCGTAGTGTGGTGTTTGGTTTTAGTCGCCTCTTTAACCGGCAGCGTTTATGTTTGACCTTCAGTTAAGTCAGTTTGATTTGCACGGCGCCCAATCACAGCAGCAGTCGCCGCAGCGCTTTAAATCATCAGGACGTACAATAAGACAAAGAAGACCGAGGAAACCCAGCAATCATAATCTCATCCGTATAGTGATAATGAAGGCATTCTATTCTATTCTATTCTATTCTATTCTGTATGACCCCCTGTGAGCAGCACTTTGGCGACAGTGGGAAGGAAAAACTCCCTTTAACAGGAAGAAACCTCAGACAGAACCAGGCTTAGAGAGGGGCGGGGCCTGTCAAGGAAATCTGGGCTTTAAACGCGTGTTAAATGTTCAGCACTTCCTGTTTTTAACGGCGTGCTGTAGCAGGAGAGGCGTTTACGGCGGAGTGACTTTCAGAGTTTCTTCTTCCAGGTATCCAACTACCTCCCGTCCATCAGCTCCTCCGTCGCCCACGTGCCGGAGCGCTACATTTGGTGTGTCTGCATCGGGCTGCACTCGGCGCCGCGGTACCTGATGTCCTTCGCGTACTTCAGCTTCTACCGTGGGCGCTTTAGCGGTCGGCAGCGGCTGCTGAGCGGGCTGGCGCTCCTCTGCAGCCTCGCCGAGAACACCGGCCTGCTGCTGCTCACATACGTGTCGTCCAAAGAAAACCACCGTGAGTACGCGGCGGTCGGCTGACCGTGAGCGTCAGACGTCTCTAATCTGAAACGTTGATGACTGTCTGTCTCCGCAGGTTACCATGACAATGGGTTCAGAGTGTTCACAGGGAGCTCGCTGGTGCACATGCTCATTACATGCCGGCTGTGGTACGTGATGAAGAGAAGCTTCGAGAGCGCAGAGGTAACTCGACCGCCGTCGGGTCCTGTGTGTCACCAGGAACAGAGATAACGCAGCTGTGCATCCGTCACACGACGATTAAATCTGTGAACGTTGGAGTAACGTTACAAACGTCACTTTAAGTTCATCGCTCTCCTTTTATTATTTAATTGTAAACGATCTGCAGAGCTGTTAATCCCACGCTGTGTCCTTCTCAGGAGGACGTATCCTATCGTCGGAAGCTGCGTCTCTTCGTTTTAAACGCCGCCTGTTGTTTGGCTTCCTACTTACTCTACAAACGCCACAACGACCGCTGTGAACCTGGAGGTAAGTCTGACTCGGTCACGTTTATAACCGGGTTCAGAGGGACTTCTGTCTGCAGGACGGTGCTGGTCTTTGAGACCAGAGGGAGCGCAGTCCTCAGCCTGTGTCAGGCCGGGCTGCTCGGCGTGTTAGTTTGGGGTTTGTTAGGATCACAGGAGGCCTCTGCTGGGTTCCTCCGGGTGTCCTGTGGGTGGTGCATCAGCAGGATGATGGGGTATCAGGACAGTTGATACGTGCTCCTGGTACAACAGCAGCGAGTGCTTGCTCCGTATTCCTGGTGTGTGTGTTGGACTCTCACCCTCGCTGCCCCTTTGCTCTCTACCCTCTCCATCTTGGATTTCAGCATATTACTCTGTGCATAATTAACACATGACCGGCAAACACTCCTGGACCTCCGATTCTCCTTTTCACATCGCTTCGATCGATGCCGCCCCTCTACAGCCAGACTCCCCCACTGGCCCTCCCTGCCTTTCATCCTGTATAAGAAACGATACAGGAGACGTGGTAAAGGAGTGGCTTCCGTGTGCGTATGAAGGCTTACCTTGAAGCACGGGCTACAGTTTACCCATATGTCTCTGGGGACTTGCCACGCTCTTTCCCTGCTTGGCCACCGGTGGCTTTGCTCCGTCTCACAGCAAGCTTACCCAGCGCCTCCAGCGGCATGCCTCCCTGCTTGGACCTGGATCGCCTCGTACAGATGTGGTGTCAACCACAGCAACCTCAGAGCCCTGCGACGCGCTGCTGCTGATGCTGCGCCCTGGACACGGATGGCTCTTTTCAACGTCAGGTCGCTGGTAAACAAGACCTTTTTTCTGCCACGAGCCTTGGTGCTCTTTTTTTTGACGGAGACCTGGATTCGCCCTGGTGAGTCGCTTCCCTTTTCGGAGCTTCTCCCCCCAGATTGTGTCTTTTTTAGCTCCCCGAGGCTTTGGTCTCTAAATGTAAATACAAAGTCCGACAGCTACCCTCTCCTTCCTACCTCAGCTACGAGGCTCAACGTCTGGAGATGACGTGAACTTCTCTGTTTGTTGTGGTTTACCGGCCACCTAAATATAATAAGACTTTTATTCACGAATTTGCTGACCTTCTTGGTTCAGTTATTTTTAAATATGACTGTGTGCTTATTGTTGGTGATTTTAACCTTAATATCTGCTGTAACGACCATCCGTTAGCCAAAGACCTCCTTGCATTAACAGACTCTTTTAATCTTGTCCAGTGGGTTAACCAACCAACCCACGTCAGGGGCCACACCCTCGATCTGGTTTTCATATGGCTTGGACATTAGCATTAAGGATAGTTTCCTCACCGACACTGTTGGTGACCTGGGGGTGTTTCTGGAAAGCTCTTAAATTCAACAAGTGTCTTCTGTTGTCAAATCTTGCTTCTGTGAATTGCGTCTTATTACAAGGCCAGACATCATGTCTTGCACAGGGACCTGGAAAGCTGATCCACGGCTTTGTGACGTCTCGGTTGGATTATTGCAGCTCCCTTTACTTCGGTCTTACCTCTACTCTCCTCCATAGACTGCAAACTCAGAACGCGGCTGCTCGTCTCCTCACGGGTGGTGGGCGGCGTGTCTCTATCAGCCCTTGCCGACCTCCATTGGCTTCCCGTTAAGTATCGCAATCAATTCAAAATCCTGCTGCTCACCTTCTGAATCATTAACAATACAGCACCAAGCTGCCTCACTGAGCTACTTACACCCCCACTAGAGCACTAAGATCATCTTCCCAGCCACTCTCGGTGCTGCCGAGGTCCCGGCTGAAGACCAGAGGTGACCGAGCGTTTGCCCCCCCCCCCCCCCCCCCCCCAATCGCTGTCAATCCTTCAAACTGCGGTTAAACATCACTTATTTAGCCTCGCCTTCTCTACCAGGTAATGCTTGTTTGTTAGTTAGTTTAACTCTTATTTCTATCTTTGGTCCATTCTTAACTGCTTTTAATCATTTTAATTTTTTATCCTTTACACATATTGTTCTTTTATGCTTTTATATGCATTTCTGTGGCTTCTGTGTTTTTAATGCCATTTAACCTGCTACCATGTTGGTACTTTGCCACAGCTTCATCCTCATCAGGGCTCTAGACTAACTTTTGTGCCGGTACGCCTAACTTTAAAAAGTTAGGCGCACACAAATTTTATAATAATTGATATAATATAATGTGTTTTCTGGATACACTGTGCTTTTTCAGCATTCAAAGATTGATGACACCGTGTCAGAGCTGGCTATGAATTTCAGAAGCATCAGGCCTTAACAGAAAAGTGAGCAATAGTTCTTTTCCTATCACAGCTGCATCCACGTCTGTCGTGCCCAGGCTGCTCATAGGGCTGCGTATCATCACTGATTCCTATAATCCATTCGATTCCGGTTTTCAAAGTCCAGATTCGATTCAACTTAGCCTCAGACAGTCAGATTTTTTTTTCTTGCTACCTGAACAGTTGGTCGCACAGGTGCAACCAAATATTTTTTTTAGTCGCACCACTGAAAATTTGGTCGCACTCTAGAGCCCTGCTCCCTGTTACTGATCCTACTCTTTTGCATGTTAAGCACTTTGGTGCACCACTGGTTTTTAAATGTGCTGTATAAATAAAGTTTGTTGTTGTTGTGTGCCTGGGCTGCTGTTTGTCACCTCTTACTTTCATCATTCTTATGGACACAATTTCTAGGCACAGCCACGGACTGGACGATCTCAGCGTCTCTGCTTGTTTGCAGATTATCAGGCTGTGAACCGAAGTTTGATTTGATTGTGAAGCAGTGGAAACGATAATCAGAGTCTGAGCCCATGGGGGGAGAGCCTGTTCTGGTTTGGGGAGTATCTCGGGGGTTTGTTCACAAGTGAAGGGAAACTGACTCCACATGTTATTGTGTTTAGGTGAAGAAAGAGCCGAGCGTGAAAGTGAAGCCGTCACATTCAGTCTGCGTCCTCACACTCAGCGGTGACCCCGAGCTCTGGCTGATGAGTCACTGCTCTTCCACAGGCGCAAGTTAAGCTGGGCGCACACTGTGCGTCGCGTTATTCAGCTCCTGCTCAAAGTAAACGATTGACTCGCAGGGGTTAGAAGGTCGTAGGTCACGATGCTCTGATGCGACCTGAGTCACACTGTGCGTCCATAACATGAAGCTTATAACACAAAATCTGTCCCTCTATGTCTCTCACTCACACAGACACACACACCACCATTAGCTTTGCTAAATTGCTGATGAAAAACATGAGCAGGCCATTCTTTCCACGGTCATTGTGGTCGTGATCATTTTGTGAGGCCACATCGAAAAGGCTCGAATGAGCCACAGCTCTACAAGTTGTGCCTCCGTCGCTTATGTCCCGATCACAGGCTGCACCGCTGCTCCGTCTTTTCACTTCCATCTCTGTGTTTGTGCGTGAGCAGTGTGAGAGGCTGCGGTGAACCATACGACTGATGGTCGGGTGGTCGTGGGGTGTTAATCGCTTCTCGTTACCCCACGTATACTACACGATGAAGTGAAACTCGGCCGATCCCCAAAACGACTGAAAAATCGTCTCAAAATGGGCCAAAACTCGCTCAGTGCATGGCCAGCATTAGAGAGGTCACATGGTGCCTCCTGGAGGAGGTGTTTTGAACATCTCCTACCAGAGGGAGGTCGTGAATCAGACCCAGAACCATCTGGACATCAAGTCTTTCAGCTGGTATCCATGGAGACGGACTCTGGTCTCTGCTGCAGACGAGCAGGTGTTTGGTTGGTTCAGTGGTTGGTTTGCTGGCGGATGCGTTGTGCAGCCTGGCCCAAACTTCTCATTGACAGCAGCCTCAGCCTGAGCACAGTTTGGACGTCACCAGGAAGTGCCACGACTTACACTTTGATGCAGCGCTGCAGACCGGAGCGACCTTCGTCTGGAAGCCTCACGGAGACGGTGTGAAAACTGATTCTTCATCGCTGCTGTAACTCGGATACACTGACCTGTCTGCTCTGTCTCTCCAGTCTACACCTTGTTCGCCTTCATCGAGTACCTGATGGTCTTCTCCAACATCGCCTTCCACTTTACGGCTTTCTGGGACTTTGGCAGCAAAGAGCTGATCGTGGCCACGCCGCTGATACGACACTGAGCTCCGCCCAGAGAGTTCTTCTTCTATCGTTGCTTTTAAACACCTGGGTTTAAAGTCTGTGTCAGTGCAGTGAGGCTGCGTCCATCTTCTGTTTGCAAGCTGCTGGAGCGTTTTTAATGCAGTTATCTGAACAATCATACGGCTGCTGTGCGGTTAGTGCTCCACCAGAAGAAGAAGACTGAGCTCCAGCAAAACAAATAAAACCTTCTTACAACTGAAAATAAAATCAAAGTTTGTTAACTGTTATATATTACAAATGTTATAGCTGGGAGTCGTTGTCCTGTTACGTCAGCTTTTAAAACCTTTTCTTAAATGTTTCTTACATATTCTTCTATTTTTCTGTTTCCAGAGTTTTTCCTCCGTCACTGTGACACACGCTGCTTTAAGCATCTGTCTCTGTTTCTCTGATAGATTCATGTTCTGCTCCTTAATTAAACCAAAACGCTGAACTGTTGGTTTATGGCTGCTCTTCATCTTTATTGTCCACTGACACACTCTGATAGAATACAATAGAATAGAATAGAACAGCCCTTTATTGTCATTGTACATGTACAACAAACTAATGAGAGCTCCACGCCACTGTGCAGGAGTAAAAACAGAATATAAATACTAAAGACATCAGGAATAAACTGCAAACAGGAGAGAGACGCAGAGTCAAGGGCAGACAAGAGAAAGGCGGGGTGGGCGGGGTCACCTGTGATGGTTCACCTGACACAGGAGGAGCTGGCAATGGCCTCCAGGGTTAGCAGTGATGTTTTGGGTGGTGACCCTCTGTGCAGCCTTGCTGTTCTCAGTCAAGGCCCCTGAGTACCAACACCCGGCAGGAGGAGCACGCTCTCCACTGAGGAGGGGAGAAGGTCAGCAGCAGCTCCTGGTCCAGGTTCTTCTTCCTCAGGACACGGAGGAGGTGCAGCTGCTGCTGGCCTTCTTTACCAGGGTGATGGTGTGTGGGTCCAGGTGAGATCAGCAGAGAAACCTGAAGGTGGAGACAGATTCAACCTGTTCTTCAGTTACAGTGAGAGGGGGTGGAGCTGTCTGTGCCTCCTGAAGTCCATTATCAGATGTTCAGCTTCAGGTTACTTTCTGAGCGCCGGTGGGACATGTTCTCTACCTCCACCCTGTACGCCGTGTCATCTCCATCAGAGACGGGCCCAACCACGGTGGTGTCATCCTTATACTGGACGGAGACGTTGGGTGGGTGACAGCTGCAGGCGACAGGAAGACTTTTATTCTGAAGGACGTGGTTACCGGAAGTAGTAGTTTGTTGTCGTTACCGGAGCGTGTCTGTGTCCTCCGGTGAAATAACCGGTAAACTGTATTATAAACAGCGTAGAAAGTGTGCGTGTGACATTAAACGGGTGAGAGCAGCAGCCGTGTGGCGGGAAACGGACGCTGTTACAGGTGTGGAGCGGCGCTTCCGTCACAGTCACGGAAGTTGTCGGCTAACGTTGCTAGCTGCTGCGATTAGCTGGGCTGACAGGATTAGCTCCGGGGCTGAGGTCACCGGCGGGGGGCTCGATGGCAGCGGGGAGGAGCGAGCCCGGGGAGCCGTGAAGGTGAGTCTTGTCACCCGGCCTACCTGCTCACAGCCGCACGTCTGCCACGTCAGAGGACTGCGTCACCTGTACAGGTGAACAGGGACGTGTTCAGAGCGCAGACACGAGTAACGGGACCGAGCTTTTTACGTAATGTTTCTGTGCTGTGGGTGAATTTCTCTGCAGAACAACAAACAGTATTAAAATGTTCTCCGTGACCGACCTGTGCAGGTGACCTTTAACCCCCCGCTCGTCAGCACAGACACAGCTCAAAGTGCAGCGAGAACATTTACGTGTGTCGATGACCTGACCTGTGCTGCCTGGTTTAAACCAGAGCAGCTGGTGGATTATCCCCACAACCTCAGAGGCTCGTGTGTTTGAGGTGTCAGCGAACAGACAGCAGAAACCACAGATAGCTCTTAAATGTTCAACCTCGGTGACATCACCACAGCAGGAAAACTCCTGGTGTGTTTACCTGTTTATGGCTCCACCCCCCCAGGATGCTCCAGGGGCCGTACAGCAGCCTGGACCGGGACCGGCTCCTCATCCGGCTGCCCTTCAAAAGCTTTGCCGTGGGGACGGTTCTGCTGCCGGTGACCGGCTTCATCGCCTGCATCTTCATCTCCCTCTGGTACCACTACGAGGACGCGACGTACACGCACTGTAAGGTGAGTGCTGATGGCGAAGGACACGTCAGCAGGAAGCTGCTGATTTATTGAAACCACAGCCAGCTGACGAGTCAAAATGTGCATTTCAGGCTTTTCAGACTCGTGCTGAACGTCTGGGTAGAGCATTACCTGGTGGCGGTGCGGTGATGACGCTCCCACGCCACACCGCAGCCTCAGGTGTCATCAGGACCCGCCCACCTGATTCACCTGAAGTCATTTTTCTTCCAGGTGTCCAACTACCTCCCGTCCATCAGCTCCGCCATCAGCGGTGTGCCGGAGCGCTACATCTGGCGCGGCTGCATCGGGCTCCACTCGGCGCCGCGGTACCTGGTGGCCTTCGCCTACTTCAGCTTCTACCGCAGCCGCTTCGCCAACAGGCTGCGGGAGCTGCTGCTGAGCGGGCTGGCGCTCCTCTGCAGCCTCGCCGAGAACACCGGCCTGGTGATGCTCACGTACGTGTCGTCCACGGAAACCTACAGTGAGTACGGCGCGGTCAGCTGACCCAGGTCCTCCAATCAGGAGTTAGCCCTTCAGACGTGCTGACGGCCATTTGTCTCCACAGGTGTTCATAAGTACGGGTTCATCACGTTCATAGGGAGCTCGCTGGTGCACATGCTCACTACGTGCTGGCTGTGGTACGTCATCAAGAGACACTACGTGAACCCAGAGGTAACCCGCCCTGTCAGCGTGCTGTGCGACCACAAACTTCAGTCGTTGTCTCGTTTAGTCGTAACAGATGAGCTTTAGTCCGCGCGGTTTCTCAGGCCCAGTGTTTGTTTCCTTTACCAGCTGTTCGAGGGAAACGTAATGAATTAGTTTAAAATGCCTTCAAAGCTTTCTGTAGACAAACTGCTCGATCAGTCGGTCGCGGCGAGTTCAGAGTCCTGTAAATGTTTATGGGGGTTTGTTCAGGTCTTTGAAGAGTTCTTGTGGTACTTGAAGGCATCATGAGGGTTCCCATCGCGCTGCGAGCGTCCTCGTCCACGTCTGTGGAGGATTTCAGATCCTGACGGTGGTTCATGTTGTTCCTGTTGGGGTTCAGGTGACGCCGGGGCAGGTTTGTTTCTTCCAGGCATGATTGAGGGACTCAAACACTTCTGAGTCCTTGAGGAGGATTTTGGATTACTAGTAGGTCCTTCTGGTACTTTGTCATTATGGTGGTTAAGTGAATTTCTGAGGAGGATCGCATGATTCTGGTGGACGTCGTTGAGGACGAAGGATCAGGTTCTGTCTCTGTTTGAGGCGGTCAGGTGGTTCAGGAGGTGGTTTTGGTGCTGCTGGCGAGGCTCCACATGTACCTCAGAGCATCCCTGTTGTTGTTTCGAGGAGGATGTAAGGATACGCCCGTAGGCTCTGTGAGAACGTGATGTAGCTCTCGAAACACTAACACATGCCAGCTGTGGGCGTGGAGCTCTTTCAGGAGTGTTTCCTCCGTTCTGAGGTTCTGTGCAGGTTTGGAGGCCTTCTTTGTTCCAGGAGTCCTAGAAGATCTGGGGTTGGTCCTGTCAGCACCTGAGGCAGTTCTAGGAGTGAGTCCTCCTGCAGCCAGTCCCGACTTTAGTGAACCTGCTGAGATGTGCTTGTAAGGCTTATTATGGTCTGCAGAACATTCTAGCATTGCTTCTGTTTTGGTCGCCCGTGCTGGTGACCTCTGTGTGCGTGTAGCGTCTTTCTGAAAGCCTGTTGGTGCTCAGGGAGAGTTTGGGATACTTGGTGGGTTCCTTCGGTTCTCGCGGTGGTTCTGTGGTTCCTCGGGAGCTTCAGGGCTCTGCAGGACAGTTTGGTGTCAGACAGTAACGTCCACCTCTGGTCACATGGAGCCAGTTTGTCTCTTTGTCTTTCATTTCTTTGGTAGTTTTCCATAAATCTGATGTTGATTTTGCTCTCTGTCCGTCGCAGGAAGTGACATCATATCGCTGGAAGCTGCGTCTCTTCCTGTTCAACATCAGCTGCTTTGTGATCGCCGCCTACTTCTTCAGACGCCACAACAAATACTGTGAAGCAGGAAGTAAGTGCCGCTCTGCTCTGTGCTGCTGCCCTCCGTGTCTCACGCCGTCTCCGTGTCTCACGCCGTCTCCGTCTCTCCTCCAGTCTACTCCCTGTTCGCCGCCTTCGAGTACCTGGTGGTCTTCTCCAACATGGCCTTCCACATGACGGCCTTCTGGGACTTCGGGAGCAAAGAGGTGACCGTGGCCACGCCGCCGGAGGACAAACGATACTGAGCAGGAGGGGGCGTGGTGTTTCTACAATTTCTGAACTCAAGCGAAGAGAGAGGAGTCTGATGACATCATTCCAACGACACCCTGACCTTCGGAGCGGGACGGCGTGATGGAGACGTGGACCAGAGTTCTTCTTCTTCTCTTGTTGTTTCTCTAGTGCGCCTGTGTCTTTAAATCATCAGAAATGATGCGTATTGATGATGTCATTGATGATCAGCCTGCTGTGATGATGTCACACTTGTTTGTTTACAGAAACAGCTGATCAGGGTTTTAATGGTTTTATTTCCACACAGATGAAAACCATCAGAGACAAAATAAATGTGATGATGATGATTTCATGGTGGTGTTCTTCATCCTCGTCACCTGACGTGTTTAGTTTATAAAAAGAAGAAAAGCTTTTAAAAAGTGGACGATGAATAAACGCTGAAGGAGAAAGTGTTGGAAATGTAAAGAAATAAAAATGAACCTTTGAGTAAAGAACAAAATGTTTTGACAGAAATCAGAGGCTGAGACGGTCTGAGCATGTGCAGAGGATGGAGGCGGAGCTGCAGGGCAGGGGGAGGTCCTCAGAGGAGGTTCATGGCTGCAGTGTTTGTATCTTAAACAATCCTGCAGCACACAGGAATCGTTTTAGTTCCACAGGACGTGAAAGCTGCGCGTCGGTTGGAGGCTCACAGACTTTAATGTTCACTAACTACTGACAGAATCACTGAGAGGAAAACACTGACACAATCTCACTGACGTGTGTTTGTGTCGTGATCAAAGCGCTTCCTGATGAGTCCAGGCTCCTGTGACCCCTGGAAGGACAGAGGTCATCGCGCCACGTCACACTGGTTATAATACGTTCTGTCATAAATGGACACAGTGGAGTGGACAGCTCACCGCTGCAGCTCTACAGTGAGCCTCACACACTGTTTACTTTCACTGTCATTTTCTTCTGAGGTATCGATTCTGTCACTAGTTAGCCTGAGTCTGTTAGCCACAACCAACCAATCACATGTTCACGTTTGACAGATGGATCTATGAACATGTTTTAAAGCTTTATGCACTGATTTGTTAAACCCAGCTTCACAGACGGTTACAGCTGTGTCAGTGTGGGACATTAGCCTTTGTGTTCAGCGTTTCACGTCCCCTTTAATATAGTAGATGTTTATTTAACCATAGTTGTTCCGTTCTCTAAATCATTTTAATCCAATCCCTAAAATATTCCCCAAAACCAAATTGTTGTAGAGTCTCAAATATATAAGACCAATCTGATCAAACGCTTTCTGGGCATCCAGAGAAAGTACTGCTGTTTTAGCCTCTTTTCCATAACCTGAGTAAATTGTATTTAATAATAAACGGACATTATTAAATGACCATCTACCAGGAATAAATCCTGTTTGATTAGGACGTATAATTGTTGAAACATGTTTGCTCAATCTTGTAGCTGAGGCTTTGGTTATGATTTTATGATCACAATTTAAAAGAGCAATGGGTCTATAATGTGCTGGTCGTAAAGTGAAGTAACCTTTTATTTTTAGTCATTTACCATCCTAAGCATGAGAGGAGTAATTTTATTTTGGAAGGCTTTAAAGAATTCATTACCGAATCCATCGGGGCCAGCTGTCTGTGGTAAGGCTTGGATTGTTCCTAAAAGATGGTTTTCAGAGACAGGGAATCGGTTTCATCTCTCAGGGCTTCATCTGATGGGGGAATAGATAATAGATCGAAGAAGTTGCTAAAATCGCTTTGAGAGGATTTAATTTTCCTAGAATACAGATCTTTATAGCATTTGGTAAAACAAGTATTAATTTCCTTTGGATTGGTACTTACTTACGGATTTCATTGTCACTTTTTGACTTGCTCGTTTTGCTTGTTCCCCTTCCAGTTCAGGAAGCTCATTTCCTTTTTCCCAATATTTTTTTCTTGGGAGATTCAAAGGAAATAATGTGACCTCTCATCACGACTTTAAGGTCTCCCATAAAGTAGAATCCGAAACTTCTCCGTTATCATTATTTATCATTATTTTTAAGACTATTGAAGCCGGGCTGTGATCAGATATTACAATATTATGCTCATTTGAATCAACAACTATGGGCAGCGGCTCCGAGGATATCAGAAAATACTCAATTCTAGTGTAGGTTTTATGGACATGAGAGAAAAATGAATAGGCCCTCTCAGTAGGATGTTGTAAGCACCAGATATCAAGTAAATCATTCAGAGTTTGTACTGACCTAATATTAGAGGGGCTTTTATAGATAGTCTATCCAAAAAAGTGTCGAGAAAGCAGCTAAAGTCACCAAAAGTCTGAACCAAATGAAAATTCTTTTTAAGGAGAAGCACAACCTCTGGCCTTGCTGGTAAAAGGAGCCTGATACACTTGAGATATCCAATTTGCTCTTAATCTTCGTTGGTTGTTAATATTTATATGAGTCTCCTGAAGGAGAGAACTTTACGTCTTAATTATATGTCCGAGACATTTTACATTCCAAGAAACTATTTTTACATCGTTTCCCTCAAAGCTCACCTCATTGTTTAACCCAAACATCATGTGTCAACTCGATCAGATATCGACTGCCATCCGCGTACACACACACACACACACACACACACACACACACACACACAAAAGAAAACACCGCACTTAAACAGCCTAAAACAAAAAAAACAAAAAACCCCATAGGCACTCCCCATCCACCCCCCACCCCCGCATAAAGCACTTCTGAGATGAAGTACTGGCGTCCCTCTCGGCCTTCCACACCTCCCTCCACAGAGTGTCCAATTCAATCAGAAAAAAAGCACTAGGCTTCACTCTGTGCTCAAACAAACTGTTGAATAGGAAAAAAATCAATATACGGTCTCAGAACATTAAAGAATCTTTTACAGAAGAAGCTTAACTCATGCAGCTCTATTACGAACTATTCAGCTCAGAGTTTATAAACACGGACACCAGTAGAAAAGGCCTTCAGGTGTCCGTTATATCTCACAAGAAGTTCAGCTGGATACCGAAGTTCCATTTTTTTCTCCCACAGTATCTTCAACACCTCGCTGAGCTCACCTCCGGTGTATAATCCAGAGAGATGAGCACCTTATGGCCCTGGTATTCCAACGCTCGCTCTCTAGAATGAGTTCTTTATCCCGATAAAAGTGGATTCGTGCGATGATTGGTCTTGGTGCTGCGCCTGCCGCCGGTAGAGGTCTCAGCAAGCGGCGTGCTCGGTCGACAATAACCGGGGATTTAAGATGATCCTCCCCGACGAGTCTAGGGATCAAATCTTGAATAAATTCAGCCGGTCTGGGTCCCTCTGCTTTCTCAGGGATGCCAATGATCATAATGTTGTTTCGGCGCGATCGACCCTCCAAGTCATCCACTTTTAATGTCTTTATTCCTGCTCTCCAAGTTGGAGACCACTTTCTCCAAGCGGGACCGGCGATTTTCCTGATCTAGAGCCTGCTCTTCCATGGATTTCACTTTCTCCAGCAGGTCTCTTTGGGATTCCTGTACTGCATGAAGAGTATGCTCCAAATTGTCAAACCTTTCGTTTATATGACGGAGAATTTTGTCGGAGATCTTCTCCCATAATAGCCAATGCGAACAGTTGGGTTCAGCATTGGCCGAAGTCATAATTCGTGATGAAGAGTTAATCTGTTTACCAGCTTTTCTGGGCATCTTTTGTTGTATACGGTATAAGCTTCAATTGTTGGCTTTTTTTGCGAAGAGAAAAATGAATTAGGAGACCGTAAAAATACGTTTGGCACGGAGGAGCGTCAGGGAACGCGTCTATTCCATGTGCTGCTCCGGAAGTCGGCCAGACTTACTGTACTTATAAACTACGGACATCACACGAATATAGTGACGTGAGACTAAACACATGATCACATTTTGTGTAAATCAGAGTTTCTTTGAAATCATCTGTACAGGAGTGTCTGCTGTGTTGAACAGGAAACAGGAAGTGTTGAGCTGAAATATGATCAGGATGATTCTGGGCTCAAGTGCGTCGCAGGTTCACGCTCTGACAGCTCTAACAGACTAGCATCCAGAGCAGATGATCTGAAGCGTGTGCTGTGGGTGCAGATGACCCCTGACCCCAGCGACAGGGGTGATTACATAAGTTTCATGTTGTGAGACGATAAATGGGCTTCTTCATAAACATCATGTTCAGGTTTTCAGTTTCTTTTCAGAAGAAAGAAACTGAAAACCTGAACATGATGTTTCAGGTTTTCAGTTTCTTTTCTCCTGAATAGTAACGGAAACATTTCTGTTTAACTGACGCCCCTTCAGCAGGAGCCAACATGTCTCAAACGTCCCCAGAGTACCTGGGAATGAGTCACTACCTGATATATCCTCCTAAATATGGGCGGAGCATGAACACACCTGGGAATCTTCCGCGTTGGGTTGATGAGTCGACTGAAGTCTTACTGAGCAGAGTGTAGCAGGGCTCACTGGGAGATCGGCTGGTTTGTTCTGTATCACAGATTTTTCATTAGCACCATCATCTTGCACCGTGGACATGGAGGCTCAGAGAAAGAGCAATGGATCGAATGCGATTTTTATTCACAAACATCATTTATGTTTACATGATTTGAAAATGCACAATCAGCATTTGAGGAACATCTATCTTCTAAAAACAAACATCCCTGAATACCCTCAACCCGAGTTTCACGTGTCCAATCTGAAACACGACACACAGCAAGGAGGCTTACTGAGGATCTGGAAGGACGAAGGCTTCAAGGATCCTCACGGAGGCCTGAAGGATGCAGACGGCCTGTCCCTGGTGTGGTGGAGTCTGGCTGTGGGTCCCCAGGAGATCCAGTCTGCTGAGACCAGGCTCCTGGACAGGTTCTACCCAAACCGGATAGAGAAGCAGGCTGAACAGAAGCCGAGCTACCTGGACGAGATCTACCCAGACCTGAACAAGCAGAAGAGCTTCCTCTGGAAGTTTGCCACCTCTCCGGCTTTCGCAGAGAAGTCCAGGTTTGGATCGTACCGCTTCACCTTCCCCCTGCACGAAGTGGTGACCACCTACAGCCAGCAGGTACTGGTGGTGGGGGTGGGGGGGTTAAATCAATGTGTAGCTCACTGATTGATTCTGCATGTTAGGAAAACATAATTTCATTAGTACTTTTATTTTTAAAACACTGAGTTTATCCATCAGCTCAGACTGAAAGAGACACGATGGCCTGGATTAAGACCTTAAACTCCTCAAGGCTTTAAGGTCTAACAGCCACTTAAAAACCTTGAAAGTCATGTGACCAGGAGTAATCTGCCAACCAGCTCCAGTGTGTTTGTGCAATTCAATTCATGTTTATTGATATAGTGGCGAGTCACAACAACAGTCACCTCATTGTAAGGTGTAGTTAACGTGTAGTTAACGTGTAGTTAGTGTGTAGTTAGTGTGTAGTTAGGGTGTAGTTAACGTGTGGTTAGTGTGTAGTTAGTGTGTAGTTAGGGTGTGTTAGTGTGTAGTTAGTGTGTAGTTAGGGTGTGTTAGTGTGTAGTTAGTGTGTAGTTAGTGTGTTAGTGTGTAGTTAGGGTGTAGTTAACGTGTGGTTAGTGTGTAGTTAGGGTGTAGTTAACGTGTGGTTAGTGTGTAGTTAGTGTGTAGTTAGGGTGTTGTTAGTGTGTAGTTAGGGTGTGTTAGTGTGTAGTTAGGGTGTAGTTAGTGCGTTAACTTGTTTCCATTCTGTGCAATTTGAGTATGAACTACTTTTGGACAACTTTTTTTCTTCCCCCTTCTAATCTGTAGTGGTTCAGTCCACTTTGCGGAGGGCTTTCTTATAAAGCAGCAAACTATTTCTCCAGGCTAAATGATGATCCTCTAAATTTGTGACACGCCATTTCCTCTCCAGATTACGAGTCGTCTGCTTTAGGGTACGTGTTTGAGAATTATACCACGGAGTCAGGTACTTCTGATTAGAGAACTTAGTTTTCACAGGAGCTACAGTATCCAGAGTCGTACGTAGTGAGGAGGTGAAATTATTAACAAGATAATCGACCTCTGTTGGGGTAGCGTTCAGATAGCTGCTCTGCTCTGTGTTGGTGCAGGTCATTGAAGATGATAACAGTGGGTGGATTATATTGTTGTGTGATTGTTAAACGGTGTACAGTGTGTCAGGTTAGTGACCTTTGTGTGTGTCTCTCACACTGAAATTCCTGTTGTTGTCTCCAGTTTTGCTCCGGAGCTCCGCCCATGATAAAGGTGTTCAAGACCGCCCTCTACAATCAGGAAGTGCAGTACTCTGTGCTGGTCCACAGCCCGGCCAGAGAGAAGCTCTTCTCAGAGTATCCTTCGCTTGCTTATGATGACCCGAACGCCGTCTTCACTTACAGAGACGGACACTTCATCTGGAGGTCACAGGCCATGTGCGAGACACACAGGTAAGTGTTAAAAGTCTCCACTGAAATAAATGTGATCGACCACTGCTGCAATATTATAAAAACCAGAAACAAAGCCAAAGATGATGGACACAACGAGTCCATGCAGTGTCTGATATTCATGTTGATTTTTCCTTTAATTTGTCATTGGTCGCTTTGCTTCCTGTCAACCTGAGCATCAGATTTAATGCTGGCACTGAGAGCTCTGTCAGGGAAGCAGTCTGAAGTCCTCTGTGAGCTGATTGGTTGAAATGCTTTTCGTGTCTCTGACTTTCTTCTCAGTTGGAAATTGACCCAAAAACCTGACAAAAACCAGATGGAAGCTGATGGTCTACATCCTTTTCAACGTCAGTTTTATGTTTGGGATAATGTCGCCATCGCCCTGCACATGGATCATGGACAGGTACCTGCCCCTCCTACTCCTCCGTCTATAGAGACGCCTGAAGCATTTTACAAGAAGCTGTTGCCTATAAATTTGGTAAAAATTTAAACAAAGTGTTGAAGTTTCTCACCTTGTTTCTCTGCTCGGTTTCGTTTTCAGGTGCTGAAGTTTGACTGTGATCGACTGAGAGCAAACCTCACGTACTGTGAGAAACCTGAAGAGGATGTTCTAACAAAGCTTTCGTTGAGTGAGAAACCTGAAGAGAGTGCTGCACCTGGAATCCAGTATGACAGTTTTGAAAATGCTAAATCACTGGTTGGACATTTGTGGCCTGACGCAGGCTTCCCGCTGGGGAAGGAGCCTTCACTCAGCCTTGTTTTCTAAGGTAATGAATCAGTAATTAAAGGAATCGTTTCTGTTGTCATTACAAATACACAAACGCTGACACATGGAGGTTTACACAACTACTAAAGGTGAAGGTAACAATCCTCACCTGGGATCTATTTGCTTGTAATTATGCATGTGTGAAAAGTCAGTGAGTTTCTGGCCTGCAGATAGGTCACTGCATGTTTCACACTGATGACACCACCGTGGTTGGTCTCTGATGGAGCTGAGACAGAGAACAGGGTGGAGGTAGAGAACTTGTCCTGCTGGTGCTCAGAAAATAACCTGAAAAGCTGAACGTCCTTCAAACCAAAGAGCTCATCATGGACTTCAGGAGGCACAGACAGCGCCCCCTTCCCCGGCATTATAAATGGAGAACAGGTGGAATCTGTCTCCACCTTCAGGTTTCTATGCACCCACATCTCCACCAACCTCACCTGGACCCACACCACCATCACCCTGGTAAAGAAGGCCCAGCAGCAGCTGCCCCTCCTCCGTGTCCTGAGGAAGAAGAACCTGGACCAGGAGCTGCTGCTGACCTTCTCCCCTCCTCAGTGGAGAGCGTGCTCCTCCTGCCTGCTGTTGGTATTCAGGGGCCTCGACTGAGAACAGCAAGGCTGCACAGAGGGTCATTAACACCACCCAAAACATCACTGCCAACCCTGGAGGCCATCGCCAGCTCCTCCTGTGTCAGGTGAACCATCACAGGTGACCCCGCCCACCACCTGTTTGACCCGGTCATCCAAGACACATCCACCTATCCACCTCATCAGTCGCAGCCATGATCTGAGTAACCCTCATTGCTCACTCACACTCTGTTCAGACCAAGTCGTTTTTGGTGTGGAGAAACCATAATTTCATTGTACATGTAAAAGGATAATAAAGCTTTATTCTATTTTATTCTATTCTATGTTTCATTCAGTGGTGCACTGACCTTTGATTCTGAGCCATGGGGAAAACAGAAGAATTATCAACGGATCTGCAGGAGAAGATAGTTGAACTTTATAAAAACAGCAAAAGGATATAAAACGATATCCAGGGAACTGAGGATGCTAATCATCAATGTCCAAACTCTAGTTAAGAGGTGAAAAATGACAGATTCGTTCAACACCAGCTGATTCAACAACTTCAGCTGATTCAAGATGCACAATAAGGAAAAAATAGGCTGCATGGTCGAGTCTTAAGAAGAAAGTCGTTACTACGCCGATGCCACAAAACTGCCCGTTTACAATAAGCCAACAGCACAGAGAAACTTCTTCTTCTAAAATGAAGCTTCTGCAGAGGTCCTCTCCATCTCCTGACCTCAGCATCATTCAGCCACTCTGAGGAGATCTCAGAGCTGCAGCTCCAGACAGACCCAGAAAGATGTGAACAGGCCAAAGTTTTACCAAGAGCAATGGGCAGCAGCTTTAGCATCTGAGACAATAAAGTTCCCTGAACACAAATACCATAACAAGCTGCCATTAATATGAGAGGAGGCGATACATCGTATTACGAACCACAAACACAAAAGTTTGATAATGAAGCTTCACACAGACAGAAAAGTTGTATAGAATTATTCATGTTCTCTGAGGAATAATAATGGATTGGATTTATATAGCGCTTTTCGAGACCCTCAAAGTGCTTTACACTTCCACTATTCATTCACTCTCACATTCACACACTGGTGGAGGCAGCTACAGGTGTAGCCACAGCTGCCCTGGGACAGACTGACTGAAGCCAGGCTCCATATCGCGCCATCGGCCCCTCTGACCATCACCAGTAGGTGGTAGATGAAGTGTCTTGCCCAAGGACACAACAACCAGGCAGAAAAATCACAAATTCTGTCAGGGTTCATAAACTGATGAGTACAACTGTAGATGGACGGAGTCTCATCTCACACTCTCACCTCTAACATGTCCGTGTCTGCGCTCTCTCAGCTGGAGAACTACAGCAGGACCTGATGGAGGCTGAGGACTCTCTGGGCTCTGTGGATCTGCTAACGGATCCATGCTATCTGTATAAATGTGTGCGTGTGCTAAGGACGTGGGAGGTGGTACAGCAGCGCTCCCTGGTGGACAGGACAGTCTACCAAGAATACATTAGATTAGATTAGATTAGATAGAACTTTATTAATCCCTCGGGTGGGTTCCTCTGGGAAATTCGATTTCCAAAAAAGCACAGCAACGACCGAAGTTACAGAGTTATACACACACACATATATATAAATACAGAGACAATATAAATAAAATATACAAAGGGGATAAATAGAATAAATAGGAATAAAAATAAAAATACAAGTGAATTGCACATTTCAAGTATTGAGTCTATTGCACTGTTGACTATTTACAAAAGTATTGCACAAGGTATTGTACAGTGAGGTGCAGAGGCACTACAGCTTAGTTGTTCCCCCCTCCTTTGTCCTCCTGTTTCCCCTCCCTCTCCCCTCCAGAGAGGAGTTAAACAGTCTGATGGCGTGTGGGACAAAGGAGTTTTTAAGTCTGTTAGTTCTTGTCTTGGGGAGAAGCAACCTGTCACTGAACAGACTCTTCTGGTTGTTAATGGCCGTGTGCAGAGGATGCCCAGCATTGTTCATAATGTCCATCAGTTTCTTTAATGTCCTTTTCTCTGCCACTGTCACCAGAGTGTCCAGCTTCATGCCGACCACAGAGCTAGCCCTCCTGATCAGTTTCTCCAGCCTGGATGAGTCCTTCTTTGCTGTGCTGCTCCCCCAGCACACCACAGCATAGAAAAGTACTCCAGCAACCACCGACTGGTAAAACATCCTCAGGAGCTTCCTGCAGATGTTAAAAGACCTCAGCCTCCTGAGGAAGTACAGTCGGCTTTGGCCTTTTTTATACAGGTGCTCTGTGTTGCATGACCAGTCCAGTTTATTGTCCACCCACAGCCCGAGGTACTTGTACTTGTTGACCACCTCCACCTCCTCCCCCTCTATCTGAACCGGCAGTGGACCTTCTCTGGACCTCCCGAAGTCCACAACCAGTTCCTTAGTCTTTGAGGTGTTGAGTTGCAGGTGGTTTGTGTGACTCCATGCGACAAAGTTCCTCACCAGACTTCTGTACTCCTCTTCCTGATCATCCCAGATACACCCCATGATGGCCGTGTCATCTGCAAACTTCTGAATGTGGCATAATTCAGAGTTGTAGCAGAAGTCAGAGGTGTACAGGGTGAAGAGAAGAGGGCACAGCACAGTTCCCTGTGGTGCTCCTGTGCTGCTGACCACAGTGTCAGACGTGATGTCCTTCAGCCTGACGTACTGTGGCCTGTCGGTGAGGTAGTCGGAGATCCAAGCCACCAGGCAGGGGTCCACCTCCATCCTGTTCAGTTTTTCCTGAAGCATACAGGGCCGGATGGTATTAAAGGCACTGGAAAAGTCAAGAAACAGGATCCTGACCGTGCCTTTTCCCCCATCCAGGTGTGAGTGGGCTCTGTGTAGGAGGTACAGGATGGCATCCTCCACTCCGACACCCGCCTTGTATGCAAACTGTAGTGGGTCCTACATCAATCAATATAAAAGTTTTGAATTGGTTTGTGTAAAGATATCTTTAAAATTAAATGTTTAACAGCATAGTTTGGGTTTCAGTACTTCAGCTAAGTTGATGATGGAAAATTTGCTCAGAACACCTTTTCACCCTTTTCAAACTGAACATCCAGAAATGTGTAATAATAACTGTTAGGTGGTGCTTGTATCATCCATCTTTCCTCACACACACTGTCAGCCAGTAAGTACTCTGCTCACATAAGCAGCTCAGTCACATCAAGTCCAGTCCACAAAGACCTCACCCACATCCACACGAGGCCCACAGGGCGGGGTAACAGGCGAAGGTCCAGGGAAGTCTGTACAAGGAGAGGAGATATACGTTAGAGAGGAGCACTACGAGATACGAGATCACTCGGTGAACCAGGGCTACACTGACACAGGTTAGCACAACGATCCAACAAAGAAGCAAACCCCACTGGGGCCTTGAGTGGTGCAGGAGTTACCATCCGTGATGAGAGGGAGTTGAGTAGAGCTGTACAGACAAGGACAGAGGTGGGGACTGGAGCCTGACTCCGCCCTGGTGAGAAACAGCAAAACAACAAGAAACAACATCCCAGAGATCCTGGAGAGCATGACAAAAATGTAGACCATATGAATGCATCTGAGTCGTTCAGCTCAAACCTTTAAGAACATCAGGATGGGCTTTTTTCATTTTGTTTTGAACATATTCATTAAAAGAGTGACTCAATAAAGAACCTGCTCCTTACTCTGTTACATTAAAGTGCACACGAAACACACATGTATGAAGGCTAATGTGCAGTAGAGCTGGGCGATATAAGACTTTTTCATATCACGATATGTTTTTTTCATTTCAGGCGATAACGATATCTATCACGATATCAGCCAAATAACTATATTTGTAAGATTTAAATGTGCCGTTGCTCACAAGTAAAATGTGAAATAATCAGCAGCTTGTTTTTAAATATTTATTTCCCATAATAAGTTCAACAGGGTAGATGTACTTAAGGAACATGAGACTTTTTCAGATAAATAAAGGCAAATATTGCAAACTACACAAAAGGCAGCTGCTAAAGCGTTTAAGTTTCAAAATAGAACAAACAAAACAGACTAAACTGTCAATTCCACTTAGAAACAAAATATTAATTCTAAAAATAAATCTTAGTTTGTTTTACAGAAGAACAGACAAAACTGACTAACTTTTGTCAATATCAAATAAACTGAGAACTAAAAGGAAATTCTCAATCTCTCCTTGTTGTAAAGCTGAGCTTTTCAAACAGTTTTAACAGCTACTTTAGTCTGACAAAAGCCGAATGACGAATTAGCGCTTCCAGTCAGAGACTGAGGCTACGTCCACACGTACACGGGTATTTTTGAAAACGGAGATTTTCCGTTTTCGTTTTAAAAAATAATCCCGTCCACACATAAAGGCAGAAATGAAGGAAAACGCTGCTATGAACATGCCAAAGCAGCAGGTGGCGCTAGATTCCTAACCGTGCCGAAATGTTGGCCAATCAGAAGTCTAGAAGCCTCGGTGGGAAAAAGTAAACAAAGCTGGGGCATAGAAGCAGAACCGAGTCGTATGTGTGGAGGGACAGTAACTGTGTGTATATGTAAGCATTTAAACACTGCAGAGAGTAGAATTAACAGTATTGTAGAAATTCATTTCACCGAAACAATAACGTCAAAAAATGCGCACACCTTTGACGCTGCGTTTTCTCCGTTTTTCTCGTCCACACGTAAATGCAAAAACGGAGTTTTCAAAAATCTTCGTTTTCAGTGACCAAAAACGCCGTTTACGTGTGGACGAAAGGTGCAAACGCATAGAAAAATCTGCGCATGCACCAGTTTATTGTATTTCCAGACTTGCTTTCGGCACATTTACAGTGCACGCTACTCTGTTTTTTGTCAGACTTGAAATAGCTGAAATACCTTCACACTACAGAACTTCTATGGCTCTTCCGTTCGACAATCTCTCCGGCGTTGGAACCATCATCTGTTTTCTCTTCGGTCACGCTCGGTTGATTTTTCTAGTCGGCACACTCATTTCCTCCATTACGCGCTGGCTGCTTCCCAAACAAATACACATGTGCGGCTTGGCACTTGTGCTGTACGTAACAAGTCACGTGACGCTGCGGCTGTGATTGGTTCGGCTCTGCGCTACTTAATTTGGATTGGCTGTTCTTTTTTTTTCTTTCTTTTTTTTTAAGAGGACAAGAGCGGCGAGGTCTATCGCGATAGTTTAATTTTTCTATCGAGAAAAAGTTATATCGCGATACATATCGTTATCGTTCTATCGCCCAGCTCTAATGTGCAGCATGGAGCTCTAAAATACTGCCACAGAACTCTTTCTATGAAGCTGGATTTAAGAAATAAATGTTAAAGTTACAGTTTTTAGAGCGTGTGCCAGTAAAGGAAGTGACATCATTGAAGGAGAACAGGAACAAACTCAGAGTCATCCTCCTCTGTGCTCACTCAGACCTACACCAGGACAATCACAGGATGCTCTTAAGCTTTATGAGCCCAGCTGCGCCCCCTGCTGTCGAAAACCCAAACAGCACTGACGGTGCAGCAGCTCTGGAGTTCGGTGGTTTTCCTGGCTGTAGTCAGATCACATCAGACACTAATATTTGCACTATTTATTGATCAGGAAATTATCAGCTCAAAAAATAAATGACTAAATACTGACAGATGGCTGTTTCTCAACTCAGACGTCCACATTATTCTGAATGACAGTTAAAAACTTGATGTTTGGTTTACGGTCATGTGTGATGAGGAATAATCAATAAATGGATTGAGCATTTATTGATTATTCTGATTGTAATCATCTGTATTCTTTTTTTTCTGTCCAGATTTTAATCTTATAGTTTCTATGACAGACTGTAAAAATCATACAATAAGCTCCACTTATTGTATGATTTGCTATTTGTAATCATGTTGTGGATAAATGGATGTATAAAAGAGGCAGAGGTTCGCTAATCTTCAAAAAACTGTGTCTGGAAAATGTGGAACAATTCTTCTTGATGTGAAATTGTGAATCATCTACAGTAATATTATCATCAAAGTATTCAGAGAATCTGCAGGAATCTCTGCACAGTGACACGGCTGAACATCAGTGAACAGCTGTGATCTTCAGACCTGTATGAAGGTTAATGAACAGCATGGAGACAAACTCTCACTGTTCTCAGTCATCGCAGTCTAAAGCGTTTGCAAACAAAGGGATCTTTAAGTTTCCGGGTCGGTTGCTACTAACAGACTTACATTTGTTTATTTTTGCTCACAAGCGACAGAACTGATACGTACGAGCGATGAACGCTGAATGAGACGTGAAAGAAACTCAGAGAGCTTTTTCAAGGGGATGATGAAATGAAAGTAAAACATATGTAAATCCAAAGCATCTGACCTCAGCCTGTGTTCCACATCTCTCTAGATTACACACAACATCCACGAGCAGGAAGTCCTCATCAATAGTTCCTGTTCCAAAAACACATCGAACAAAAGGTCAAAGGTGGCTGCAGGAGACCACTGAGGACAGTTTGTGCCCATCTCGTCTTTAACAGAGTTTAAATGTGTTTTTCAGCCCTGACGGCCAGTGGGCTGGCCTTGTGTTTTGCTTTTTCTGTTACCTGTTTCTTGCAGGTAGGTGGAGCTGACCCAATTATAGATGCAGCACACCCAGTGTATATAAAGACACCTTGACTGAACCAGCGTGGTCTCTGGCTCTCGCTGGCTCTCTCCATCTGGCACCCATCAGATTCATTTGAGGCTTCAGTTATGGCTGTTATATCATTTCAATTGTGTTTAAGTTTCTTCACCTTATCGTCATTAAAAATATCTCACAGCCTTTAAAAGCCTGTGTGTGGTCTCCCACTTGCTTGTCACGTCCTTGAGCCAGGTTGTGACATATGAGAGATCAAAAATGTTGGAAAAAATAATAATTTAAGATTAAATTTTGATCTTAAAGTTCCAGAAACAGGCGAATGTTATCATATGTATATTACTGTATATTTAACCTTTCAATATCACAGTATTGTCCGATGCAGCTACTGAGAGACGTTACTTTGCAGACGCTCACATGGATCCTGCTGCTGTCTGCAGATGTTTAACAAGCAAACATCTGCTAAACTCTATGTGTCTATGTAATCTGCTAAATGAATTACTAATGAGTTTCATTAGCCTGCTGTCTGAGCTGCAGTCGGGTTTAACTTCATTAACACTTGAACCTGTAACAGAAGCGGAAACAGTGAAATAGAGGTAGATGACAGGAGTTTGGTGGTTTTGCAGGGGGAAGTGTGTCTTCTTTCTTTCCCTGTGTGATGTTTATCAGTGCTGGTGCTGAAATATGGAAGCTGATGTTTAGACTATTTCCTGTGTGAGGGCGCTCAGGCTTTGTCCCATTTGCATGCCCTGGACTGTGGGGGCGTGGTCTGAATATAAGCCTGGTGATCAGAGATCACTCACACTCCTGACAGGAAGCATCAGCCTCCACCTGATCATGCAGACACAAAGAAACAGGAGAGGATATATACAACACTTCATAAACTGTAAGCATCTGTGGCTGAATGAGCTGAAGAAGCTCGCTCATGACTTGAAGAACCCGTATCTCCTAAAAGAAAACGTCCCTGACTACCCCCGACCCGAGTTTCACGTGTCTCACCTGAAACACGACACAGAGCGAGGGGCTTTATGTTGGATCAGGACAGACGGCGGCTTCAAGGATCCTCACAGAGGCTTCAGGGATCCACACAAATGGCCCCTGGTGTGGTGGAGTCTGGCTGTGGGGCCCGAGGAGATCCAGGCGGCCGAGACGAGGCTCCTGGAGAAGACCTACCCAAACCGGACGAAGGAGCAGGCTGTGAAGCAGCAGAGCTTCCTGTGGAGATTTGCCACCTCTCCGGCCTTCAGTGAGAAGTCCAGGTATGGATCGTACCGCTTCACCTTCCTCCTGCAGGACGTGCTGAGCGCCTACAGCCAGCAGGTATGTTTACATTTACAGAGGGGGGAATTTTTTCTTCCTGAAGATACAAACATTATTCAAAACTCAACAACTCTTTATCCACAACAGTCTGAGTTTGTGTCAAAGCTACACACTAAAAATAATAAACACCGTGTGACCAGGAACAATCTGTCAGCTTTTCTCTGTGTGTTATCAGTACATCATGTACATTACCTCAGGTGTGTGACAGGTGTGAGTCTCCCACTGAAAGACCTTCTGTTGTGTCCAGTTTTGCTTCGGAGCTCCGCCCATCATGAGAGTGTTCAGGACCTGCCTGTTCAAAAAGAAAGTGCAGTACTCTGTGTTGGTCCACAGCCCAGCCAATCGCGAGCTCTTCTCAGAGTTTCCATTACTTCCTGGTAATGACCCGAACGCTGTCTGCGCGTACAGAGACGGACGCTTCATCTGGAGGTCGGAGGCCATGTGTGAGACACACAGGTGAGAGACACAGATAAACGCTCACAGACAAAGGAAGAGGGTCAACAAGTTATTGTCTGTGCTCATGCTGAGCAGCAGGGAAGAACACCTGGGCTTCTTGGAGACTCTGGGATGGTAGGAACACTTGGATGTAGGAGACAGGAACAGCCTGATCTAAACCAGAGTGGTGTTGGTTTTTCACCCTTAACATCCTGTTACAGGATAAGGTTGCTCCAGAATGCACTTGTACCAGGACACGCTGTGTTCAGGTCAGTGATCAGCTTAGTTGTCGTACATCTGATCTGAGGCATCCAGGTCGGTGCAGAGCTTTTTGGACCATGACACCATTTGTAGTTTTGCGTGCGTCATTTTAATTCCAACAATCAAGATGTGACTGAAGTGCACGCTTTCAGTTTTAATTCAGCGGGTTTCACAAAAGTAAAAATGTGTTAGTTAGAGTCACTGCCCTGAGTCAGAGAAATCATGTGCCTCATTCACAGGTGATGGGAAGGTGGAGGATGGGGTTGGGGGCATCCTCAGTAATGTGCACCAGACCTTTGTGATGGAGCTCAATCTGAAGGCAAATACATTCAATCTACATTGCAGCCCTCAAATATCATGAGCGTGCTGCCACTATAACTATGGTGGAGGAGTCCCTGCAATGACAATTACCAAATTTTAAAAAGTTTCCTCCTGACATCCAGTCAGCTGATCTTTTCCAATAATTTTATGTATATATTTAAGTATATTTAAGACTTTTACTGTCTGCTTTACGTGGAGTCAGATAATACTGCCACACTGATACTGTTTGTCTTTGGCCTTCCTGTCAGGTACGAGCTGATCCACAGACCTGATGCAAGTCAGATGGACTCTCTGGAGCTGTTTGGACAGCCTGAGTTTTATCTTTGGGATAATGTTGCCATCGCCCTGCATGTGGAGAACGGACAGGTGGTTATGGGATAATCTGGCTGTAAATAACAATTAAATGTAAAAATCAAATGGCCTGTATCTGTATAGCACTTTACACATCCAGTCACACACAGGTGATGGCAGCTACATTGTAGCCACAGCTGCCCTGGGGCGCACTGACACTGGCGCCACCGGGCCCTCCGACCACCACCAGTAGGCAACGGGTGAAGTGTCTTGCCCAAGGACACAACGACCGAGACTGTCGGAGCCGGGGCTCGAACCGGCAACCTTCCGATTACAAGACGAACTGCCGACTCTTGAGCCACGATCGCCCCACAACAACAAACTAACCTCCTCTGTGAATTGCAGATTTATTGTTGTGGAGGGGTTTGCTAGTCCCAGTGATCCCAGAGGCTTTATTGTCGGAGTGCTGGGCAGTGGCCAGCACACACTGGCAAACTGATCCCAGCTACTGAGACTCCTCCAGGTGACTGGTGACTGGTTCCGGAGACAGGCCGGACTTTGTCTCAGCTGGGGTGGATATCTTAGTATCCCCTAGTTTTCCCAGGTGGACAAGAGGATATGTTCCCTGCACCTTCAGGTCAGGGAATAGGTCCTGACTGTCATCTGTGCCTGTGCGCCAAACAGCAGTTCAGAGTAACCTGCCAGCGTGCTCCACCTGGGGGCTGTCGTCTTACTGGGAGAATTCAACACTAATGCGGGCAACAACACTGAGACCTGGAAGGGCATGATTGGGAGGAAGGGTCTTCCAGATCTGAACCAGAGCTGGACTCCTGTGTGAACCAGGGTGTCTGTAACTGCACATGGCACTAGGACACCCCATACCACAGGTCGATGATCAATTTTGTAATTGTATCATCAGATCTGTGGCTGTATGTTCTGGACATTTGGGTGAAGAAAGATGGTGAGCTTTTAACTGATCACCACCTGGAGGCAGAATTGGATCAGGTGGCAGGGGAAGATGGTGGACAGACCTGGTGCACCTGAACGTAAAATGAGGGTTCGCTGGGAACACCTGACAGAGGCGAGATCTTCAACTGCTGCACTGAGCTGCGGCTGCAAGGTCGTTGGTGCCTGTCGTGGTGGTAACCCCCAAACCAGATGCAGGACAGCGTAGTGCAGCTGATTTGACTGAGGATATTGTTGGGTTGGAAGGAATACATCAAGGACCTCCTTAATCCCAGTCTTCCATAAAGCAAGCAGAGTCTGGAGACCTGGGGTGTGACTAGTCCATCACCAGAGTGAGGTCACTGAGGCAGCTAAACAACTCCTTGGTGGCGGGGCCCTTGGTGTGAATGAAGTTCGCCCTGAGTTTCTGAAGGATCTGGATCTTGCAGGGCTGTCTTGGTTGATATGCCTCTACAATGTTGTGTGGAGAGGGGCAGTACCTCTGGACTGGCAGACTGGGATGGTGGTTACCATCTTCAAGAAGAGGGACTGAAGGGTGTCCTCTGACTGTAGGGGCATTGGTAGATGAGGAGTTTGACCATTTGTGAGGGGCTCAAAGTACAGCCATTACTCCTCTACATCGAAAGGAGCCAGTTAAGCTGGTTTGGCCATGTAACAAGGAAGCCTCCTGGGTGCCCTACTGGGTGAGGTGTTCTGGGCATGTTCCGCTGGGAGGGGGTCCCAGGACAGACCCAGGACACACTGGAGAGATTATATCTCTTGGCTGGCCCGGGAACACTGGAGGAGGTGGCTGCGGCCTCCATAACGCGGCCTCAGATAAGCGGAAGAAGATGGATGGATAGAACAAACTCACAGGCTGATGTGTGTCTGACAGTTAAGCTCTTAACTAATCTTTGTAGTCACTAAGCTTTATTGTTCACTCTCTCTTTTCTTTTTCAGGTACTGAAGTTTGATTCTGACCAACTGAGAGAGAACCTGAAATTCTGTGAACCAGACAGACCCACAGTCACACCCAACTTCTATTTTGATCATTTTGAAAACGCTAAAATCTTGGTTAACCAATTGTGGCCCGACTCAGACTCCCTGCTGGAGGAGGAGCCTTCACTCAAGCTCAGTTTCAAAGGTAATTAATCCATAATTGAAACCAGCATTTCCTTTATCGGACTGGGTGAAGATGCCAGGTTTATGCTTTGGTACAAAACTTTATTCCATATTTGTTTTTTTTA